TTAGGATACAAAATAGGATTAGTGAAATCTTCTAGTTTAGGGGGTATCCTATTATCCTCGAGAGCTTTTATTGATAATTTATAAAATGAATTCATATCTTTCAAAATTTGATTTGTATAATTTGATCTATAAATCTTGCTCTCTGATGCATCCTTAAAATTTTTAAAATCTTTCTCAAGTTCTGCATTGGATGATTTTAAATTTTCATGATTTTTATTCAAGTTATCAAGCTCATCAAGTAATTTTATGTGGTTGTCATTAATTAAAGCATGATCTTTCATAAGGATTTTATGATTCTTTTGTAGTTCTTCAAATTCTAAACTTAGACTAGCATGCAGTTTCTTCATTTTTCTATATGCATCATGCATATGTTCAAAAAATTCATCATAACTTAAGTCACATACCTCTTATTGATCTGACTGATCAAGACTATCAGCCATTAAGCACAGATTAGTGACTTCCTCTTCCTTTTCTGTCTCTGACGAGTCCGAAGTTGAGTTCACCCAAAAAGCTCTTTGTACAAAAGGTTTTTCCACTATCTTCTCCTTGCTAGGAGTGGTTTTGAGTTTTGGGTAATCTGTCTTTATATATCCAGGTTTCCTGCACTCATAGCAAATAATATCATTTGAAACCTTTACATTTTTATTAAATTTACCTCTATTCCATTGCTGGTGTCTCTTTTGCTTCCTTTTTAGAAAGCTTCTGAATTGTCTAGTCATTAATGCGATGTAGTCTTCATCCTCAGGTTGTGAGTGTTCACTCTCAGAATCCTCCACTTTTAGTGCTATGTTCTTCTCCCTTCGTGGTTCACCTGCATCAATCTTTCTTTGACTAACTCCTTGCTCGTAAGCAATTAGCGAATCAAGAAGATTGTCAATATAGTAAATGTTTAGATCTTTAGACTCTATAATTGCAGTAATTTTAGCATCATAAGTAGTAGGCAAACAACGAAGAATCTTATTAACCATTTCAGTATTCATTAGTTCCCTACCTAATGCTTGTAAAGAGGTGATTATTTGTGTGAATCTTATGTACATATCAGAAATAAAATCATTAGATTTCATGCGAAATAGTTCATAATCATGCAACAATATATTAAGTCTAGATTACTTAACCTCATTAGTCCCCTCATATGTTATACAAAGTCTATCCCATGTGTCCTTTCCACTCTTGCAAGTAGAAACCCGTATGTAATCTTCTGATTTAAGTGCACAAAAGAAACTGTTTAAGCATTTGGTGTTTAGTTTGCTAAGTCACGTTCTTCTACTGTCCAGTCCACAAAAGGTGTTTTAACTCTAACTCCTTCAACTAGTCTAGTTGGTTTTGTATACCCTTCCTAAACTAAGATCCACATATGATAATCAAGTGACTATAAAAATATAGACATGCTTGTTTTCCAAAAAATTAAAAGGAATATTGTCGAACAATGGAGGTTTAGTTATAGAGTAACCCTCAGGTGTATTTCGATTTCCAAATGTAGCCATCTACGTTAATAAAAAAGTAGTCTAAACTTATGATTTTGAAACAAAGCTCTGATACCACTTGTTGAAACTTGTTCACTATGAATTAAGTTGTTAAGCCTAAGCTTATGTCCCAGCGATAACCAAGAGGGGGGGTGAATTGGTATTTAAAAAATTTTACCCTCTTTTAAAATTTAAAACCAAGAATTTAACTTTAGTAAATTTTATAGAAAAAAGTTTTTCAACCACAAGTTAGAAACAATAAAACAAAAATAAAAGCAGCGAAAAAATAAAAGACACGAGATTTATAGTGGTTCGGTTAAACACGACCTACATCCACTCTCAGGAGGCACCCTCCGAGTATTGCACTAATATCACTAGTGACTCTCCTTTTACACCCACAGCAAAGCGGAGAAGCCTTTACAAAACTCTCTTCCACCACTACCCGGTGCGGCAGAGAACCGTCGTCCTTTTACACTCTTCTCAGTATTGGCAGAGAACCGATCATCCTTTCACACTCTCCCGGTATAGGCAGAGAACCCTTCGTTCTTTCACACTCTCCTAATGTGGGCAGAGAACCCTTCGGCTGTTCACACTCTCCTAGTGTGGTCAGAGAATCCTTCGGCTGTTCAAACTCTCCTAGTGTGGGCAGAGAACCCTTCGGCTGTTCACACTCTCCTAGTGTGGGTAGAGAACCCTTCGGTTGTTCACACTCTCTAAGTATCGGTAGAGAACCGGATCTCCTTGACAGATCGTCTTCACAAGAAATCTAGAAGGAAGAGATAAAAGAGTGAAGTAATAAAAAATCAAAAGTAGAGACTCTTACCTTTGAGTACCAAGTGAAACCTTCATACTCTAGTAGTAAGAATTCTCCTTCAAACACTCTCTCACACTCTCTTCTTGACTCTTCTTTTAATTGGCATAAAGATCAGTAGGTAAAAAGATTAAGTGACAGTTTATATTGGACTTTATATAGGAAAGACACAAAAAAAATCGTCCAAAAACTATTAAAATTCAAGTTGTCAGCAGTGGATCGTACCGTACGATCGTGGATCGTCCTGGACGATGTTACTTAATTCAGTTGGAAATGAACCCAATGTATATTGGTACAAACTAACTTCGTATATAATAATCATCCCGTACGAACCAGGTTCGTCCGGTACGAACGATTATACCATAGGTTGGTTCCGAAAACTGCAGGAAGTTGCCAATTTTTTTTAAGAGTCGGTTCGCTTCGTCCTGGGACGAATATGCGTTCGTCCAGACAAAATTTTTAAAGAGGACATTTCATCCTTGCACGAATATGGATTTCATCTGAACAAAAATTTTTCAGAGGACATTTCGTCCTGGGACGAATTGGAGTTCGTCTAGACGAAATTTTCCAGAGAGCATTTCGTCCTGGCACGAATTTAAATTTTATCTGAACGAAATTTTTCTAGAGGACATTTCATCCTGGAAAGAATTGGAGTTCATCTGGATGAAATTTTTCCAGAGAGAATTTCCTCTTGGCACAAATATAAATTTCGTATGAACGAAAATTTTCCAGAGGAGATTTTGTACTTGGACGAATAAAAATTTGTCCCGGACGATCAGGACTTAGATAAATTTTTGTTGCTTCCTGTTCGTTTCATTGCTCTTTCGAGGAGATAACGGACTTCATCGTCCTATACGAACTATGTTCGTCCCGTAGATCCTTATAAATTTTTAAAGATCTCCTCAAGTGTGTGTGCTTATTAACTCAATTACAATCACTCCCTCTCAAACTTAATTCAAAGAAAAGTACAAGCTTCAATTTATAAAATATCTCATGCTGAATTTGATTTGAAGTTTTCAGTAGTATGGAGTTTGATTTTTCTAAATGTGTTAGTTCACACAAGAGCAAAAAATAAATCTTCCAAAAAGTGTTAGGAGATATCAACACATAAACAATAATATTTGAAATCATTAAAATTATAAAAGTTACAATAATGTAAAACATGCAAATAGAAACTCTCTTAACAGAGAGGATGCGCCAGAGTCGATAATCCAATCACTTGTGATCATATTATTAGATGTCGTAAGTGCTATAGAGGTCGATGCATAATTAGCGTTGAAGTGATGCTAGCAATTGTTGGCGGTGTGCCTTCTTTTTCCACAAATTTGGCAGATGATAAGAGACGTGGATGTGTTCAAAGTAGAGGATGAGTTTTGTTGATTGCTGGAGGTGGATTGTCTGCGCGAGTAAGAATTGGATCGCCCACGACCACGTTCCCTGGAGCGATTGGAGTAAAGAGCCATCTGCATAGTTAGATTGGAGTGGTCTTTCGCAAGATCTGTTGATAGATTGATCTCTTCGCATAAAAGAAGCGAATAAAGATCTTCTAGAGCGACCGGAGTGAGCGTGGTGTGGATGGATGTCTTGAACGCCTAGTATTGAGGGGGCAGCCCGTTGAGGGTGTAAAGCAAGATGTCTTCATTGTCGATGGGGCTTATGGCTGCGGAGATGTTGTCGACCAACGTCTTGATGTTGGTAAGATATTGAAGCATTGTTTGTTGGCCCATGCTGATGTGATAGAGCTCATTTTTGAGCTGGATTACCCGCGAGCGATTCGTCGCATGCAGGCGCCTTTCAAGAGTGCTCCAGATGTCCTCACAGTTGTCAAGATGTAAGACATACGAAAGAATACTTGCCGAAATGGTTGAGCATATTGCGGCGGTGAGGTTCTGATCTGCAAGAACCCATCAACAGTAGGCTTCGTTGATTTTAGAGATGCCGATGGAGTCGATAATAAGCCGAGATGTTACAGTGGTGTTTTGATCAAGAAAACCATTGTAGTTGTTTGCGCGGAAGAGCTTCAAGATTTGAGATCGCCATGTCGCATAGTTGTCGTTGATCAGTTGTATGGGAATGATGGTTTTGATGTTTGAAATGAGAAATTTGAGGGAGGAGGGAATGACACTGTCATCTGGAGCGTTTCTGAGCTATTCGGTGTTGACGGGAGTAACGTCGGAGGATGATTCAGTTTTTTTAGAGACGGTCGGAGCCACCATTGATGCGGGAACGTCGGAGACGGACCAAGATCGCGATCTAGAGAAAAAAAAAAGAACTAAGATATTACAGGAGATGATCGGGAAAGAAGATGACAGTGAGCCTAGGAGGCTCTGATACCATAAAGAGAACTAGAGAGAGACATAAAAGAGTAAAGAAGTATTTCATTAATCAGTAAAGAGGAAAGTTGTACATAGATGTAAACAAGAGTCTATATTTATGGACAAATAGGTTTACACGTGTAAGCAAGTCATATTAAGTTTGAGAGATATCGTCTTCCTCGGTAGCCGTACACATCTTTGAGTTGTCCTTTTTTGGTCTAATTTGCTGATGTGTTATTACATAGAAAATTTGTGGAGATCCAACCAATGAAGTTGGTCGGTCCCACGCAACCATCCACCACTTCGAACTGATAAGGCAAAGCCATCGGCTAGCTCACGTGTCGAACACAAGACATCGATGCCATACCCTCTTTCCACCAATGAATGGCATCCCCTTATCCAAAACCTCTTATCCACCCGCCGTGCCCAGCGCAGAAATAACACCCACCACTAAGAACAGGTAGAAGAGGAGACTTCCAAGAAAAATAGCGAGGGAGGGACAAAGATCATGGCAGCCTCACTTCAAGCGGCGGCGACTTTCTTGCCTGCCAAGGTCGGATATCCGTCGAGATTTGTTTCAGGGTTGCAGCTTAGGCCAGCTCCACAGCAGCTCTATAAATCTTTTGGAGTTGAACAACCCGCAGGCGGCAAGATTAGCTGTTCCACTCACTCCGATCTTCTTCGTGATGTCGCGCAGAAGTGTATCCACGCCACCAAGCTCGGCGGAATCGCGCTGGCTACTTCTGCTCTGCTCGTCGCGGTTTGCTCACTCTTTCACTTATAAAAGTAGAAGATGGTCTTTTTTATAATTGTAATTATTTGCAGGGAGCGAACGCGGAGGGAGTACCCAAGAGGCTGACCTTTGACGAGATCCAGAGCAAGACGTACATGGAGGTGAAAGGGTCCGGAACTGCCAACCAGTGTCCGACGATTGAGGGCGGCGTAGACTCCTTCGTCTTCAAGCCGGGTAAGTACTACGTTAAGAAGTTGTGCTTGGAGCCCACTTCTTTCACAGTCAAGGCCGAGGGCGTAAGCAAGAATGCTCCTCCTGATTTCCAGCCCACCAAACTCATGACCCGACTGACCTACACACTAGATGAGATCGAGGGACCATTGGACGTTTCCCCTGACGGATCCCTCAAATTTGAGGAGAAGGATGGGATCGACTATGCTGCTGTAACCGTGCAGCTACCTGGCGGCGAACGTGTTCCTTTTTTGTTTACTATCAAGCAGTTGGTGGCCACTGGGAAGCCGGAGGCGTTTGGAGGACAGTTCCTGGTGCCCAGCTATCGTGGATCGTCGTTTCTGGATCCAAAGGGAAGGGGAGGGTCAAGTGGGTATGACAACGCGGTGGCATTACCGGCAGGAGGAAGAGGGGATGAGGAGGAGCTTACTAAGGAGAATATAAAGAATACTTCCTCTAGTAATGGAAAAATTAGTCTCAGTGTGAGCAAGAGCAAGCCGGAGACAGGGGAGGTTATTGGGGTGTTTGAGAGCTTGCAGCCATCTGACACAGATCTTGGGGCCAAGGCGCCGAAGGATGTGAAAATCCAGGGCATTTGGTATGCGCAGCTTGAGTCTAATTAACTACTAGCTTGTATATGAATATGCTGTTCTATTTATGTTTCTCTCTGTTTTTTGTCTTATTTCAGCTGAAACTGAAAAAATCTCGTGTTATATTTGTGTGCTCTCATTTTGGAGTGATAATTTTGGATGTTATGCTGCGATTTTGTATTGTAATTTAGAATGTCAGCCAAGGAACATATTTTAGGACACCCAAGCACAAATATTACAGCGAGAAGAAAGGTAATAAATGATTTGAGAACACCCATAACTCCCTGAAATGCAAAAGAAGAATATGAAAGTTCTCCGAGATAGAGAATAATGAGGATTGTTTTTGGTGTAACCCAAGACCTGCAAGCACAGAAAGACAAGCAAAAACGAAGAAACAGGGAAGATGGAGATGAAAGGCTTCAGAGGCCTGTATATTTTTCTCTTGAATAGTATCAAGTATTTGCAAAAGATCAAAAACTGTTTCTCTCCTTCAGCCTTTCGTCTAAATAGGTTTCTAAAACCCTGTAGCCAATTCTAGAAGCTGCTTCCTGTAGCTGTAACTACCTGATTCTAAAAACAACCAATCAGGTAAAAAGGTAAACATGTACTAATAAAACTAACATAGTAATAAGTAGTGGAAAAGGAATTAAGGGTACGATGGCCCTTGGCACCATGGCAGCACGTGCGGCGCTGCATCAGTCCTCCCCATCTGCCGAAGAGCTCGACTCCGACGAGCTTATTTCAACAGCTGTATCATCAGGAGGATGAAATGGCCAAATGTCAGAGACATTGAAAGTCGGTGCGGTATTGTAGCCGGGTGGAAGTTCCACAGTGTAAGCATTATCTTGATTTTGGCAACGATGGGAACTGGGCCGATCTTACGGCGGCTGAGCTTGTTGTAGGTACCTGGGGCAAACCGTTCTCGGCGCAATCGGACCATGACAAGGTCCCCTACCCGAAAGAGCACTTGACGTTTATGTAGATCAGCAGAGGCTTTGTATTGCTGGTTCGAACGATTGAGCTGAGTATGCACATCTTTAAGCATTTTGGAGTATTGACGGGTGAAAGTGGACGCTGCGCCGGACTTGCACTTCGGGAGAATGGCTACATCCAAGGCTAAGTGAGGAAGTTTAGTAAAGACAATGCTGAAAGGAGATTTACCGGTGGAGCGGTTCACCATAGAGTTGTAAGCGAACTCCGCAGTAGTTAAGACTTCCTCCCACCGTTTCGGATAATCCTGCACTAAGCAACGTAGCATACTTCCTAATGTCCGGTTGACCACTTCAGTTTGTCCGTCAGACTGTGGGTGATAAGCCGAACTAAGTCGCAGATCTGTGTCGAGTTGTTTCCACAATTTCCGCAAAAAATGGCTGATGAATTTGACATCCCTATCAGAAGTGAGGCTCCTCGGCACCCCATGAAGCCGGATGATATTATGGAAGAAGAGTTGAGCAATGTGAAGTGCATTGGACGTCTTTTTGCAAGCGACAAAATGAGCCATTTTGGAGAAGCGGTCAACGACCACCATGACTGAATCATGTCCCTTTTGAGTACGAGGTAGACCAAGTACGAAGTCCAAGCTGAGGTCTTCCCAAATGGTGTCCGGAACTGGTAGAGGTAGATACAAGCCGGTGTTTTGAGCTCCACCTTTATAATTTTGGCACACGGAACACCGATCCACAAAGCGAAAAACATCTCTACGTAATCTTGGCCAGTAAAAACGGGACTTTAGCTGAGCTAAGGTTTTGTCACGGCCTGTGTGCGCAGCTAATGCCCCACAATGCGCCTCACGAATGAGGTGTTGTCGCCACGAGGAAATAGGGACGCATAAGAGATTGTTGTGGAACAGAAAACCGTGGCGAACCGAGAATTCGGGAACTGTCTCGGTGTTGAGGCATCAGCGCCATATCTCAGCAAAATCAGCGTCGGTGGAATAGAGCTCTTGTAAAGAGGATAACCCAGTGAGTTCGGTCTGTAACTGAGTCAGGAGGATGGATTTTCTGCTAAGAGCATCAGCTACCGTATTGTTCTTGCCAGCTTGATGTTTAAGCACGAAAGAGAATCTCTGTAGGAAGGAGACCCAGCGGGCGTGCATTCGGTTGACGTGCTTTTGGTTGTTAATAAACTGCAATGCCTTATTGTCGGTGCAGAGGACAAACTCTTGGTGCAGTAAGTAGTGCTCCCATTGCTTCAGGGCATGTATGATCGAGTAAAGTTCCTGTTCATATGCGGACCAACGTTGTCGAGACGGGCACAGCTTCTCACTAAAGAAGGCCACGGGCCGACCAGCCTGAGACAACACAGCACCGACACCTGTAGCAGAGGCGTCCGTTTCTACGGTGAAAAGCTTGTCAAAATCGGGCAGGGCAAGCACTGGAGCTGAAGTAAGTGCGTCTTTAATAGCATCGAAACTTCGTTGTTGTTGGTCCCCCCAAGTAAAAATTTTAGACTTCAAGCAGTCAGTTATAGGACTCATAAGGAGGATGAATCCGCGAATGAATTTGCGATAGAAGTTCGCCAGGCCGTGAAAACTCCGGATTTCGAAGAACGATTGTGGTGGAGGCCAAGTGAGTATTGCAGACACTTTATCAGGATGCATATGCACGCCATCTTTGGAAATAAAAAATCCCAAGAACTGCACCGATTGGGTGGCGAACTGGCACTTCGTCAGATTGAGGAACAATTGGTTCTTCTGTAGAATTAGAAATAGCTGCTGTAAATGGTCTGTATGTTCTTCGGCACTAGAGCTGTATACTAGAATATCATCAAAATAAGCAATGCAGAATTGGCCCCAAATTGGTTTGAGAATGAGTTGGATCACTCTCATAAAGGTAGATGGCGCGTTGCACAGGCCAAATGGCATCACTCGCCATTCAAAGAGGCCAAACGGAGTCTTGAAGGCTGTTTTCCACTCGTCACCAGGACGAATCCTGATTTGATGATATCCACTCCGGAGGTCGAGTTTGGAGAACAGGGCCGCTCCCTTGAGGTGATCCAGCAATTCGTCAATTCTCGGTACAGGAAATCTGTACTTTACTGTAATTTTGTTTATAGCCCTGCTGTCAACACATAGACGCCATTCATTGTTCTTCTTGGGAACAAGCAGAGCGGGGACGGCACAGGGACTAATACTGCTTTGGATCAACTGTTTTTGCAGTAGTTCGTCTATCAGAGACTTCAAGATTTCTTGTTCCCTTGGATTGAGCCTATAATGTGGCAAATTGGGTAGAACAGCATTGGGCACGAAATCAATTTGATGCTGGATTGACCGTAATGGTGGTAGAGCACTGGGAAGATCACGCGGGCAGATATCACTGAATTGCTCTAGCAAACGACGGATTTCGTCTGGAATTTCAGCTGGAGGTTGGGGAGTAAGAATATCTGTTAATACCATTGCCCACATGGGGTCCTCCTCAGTCACAGCTAATAGCAAATTTGGACCGGACACTAACTGTAGAGTTGGCGAGCTGGACTGATTGATGGTATTGTTATGGGTCGTCGGTAGCAGTCTAAGACGCTTGCCCTTCCAGTCCAAGGTATAGACATTAGCTCTTCCATCAAATTGGACGCCGGCATCAAATTGCCATGGACGCCCGAGAATTAAGTGGCACACATCCATGTCTAGTATGTCGCACAATACATCACATACATACTGACGGCCTATTGAAAAGGTCACTTGACACATGTCGGTGACCTGAATGTCGACGCCTTTTTTCACCCAACTGATCTTGTAAGGGTGAGGATTTTTCGTTGTTTTGAGCTGAAGAGCTTGTACCACAGAGCGAGCTATGATGTTTTCGGTGCAGCCACTATCAATGAGGAGGTCGCAAACCTTTCCGTTGATGGTACACCTTATTTTAAAGATGGCATTCCGTTGTTAAGCAATCTGTTGGCGAGGTGCCATCAACAGTTTTTCGATGACACAAACCAGAGGTTCTCCTTCATCCCCTTCAAGGTCTTCAGTAGCATTTTCATTTTCCTCCGCCAGTGGATCGGGTGCAGCATCTACTTCATTTTCCAGTAACTGAAGTTGTTGTCGCTGAGGACACTCATTCGATTTGTGACCCTGTTGAAAACATCGGAAGCATTTTAACGTTCCTGGTTTAGCGTAAGGATTAGTTGAAGCCGGAGGTTTAGCTGTGGATTGTGATTTGGCATCAGACGACGCTGCTTGGCCCGGTTTGGGAGTACCGCTGCTTGGCCCGGCTGGTGATGTGCTCTGTCCCACTTTGCTGAATCCTTTACCCGTATCAGCTAGTGATTCACTAAGAGGTCGTCGACTAAACTGTGCCCGGGACGACCTGTTCAGCTGAATTTCCACCCTTAAAGCGAAGTTGATCGCCTGCGGTAACGACCAAACAGAATTTAGTTCTAATTTGTCCTGTATAGCATATTTGAGCCCACCAATGTACCGAGCTACGAGTTGATTCGTCGACTCATTCAAGTTGTTGCGTGCACTAAGTCGATGGAACTCTTCTGTATACTCACTCACTGATCTGTTGCCTTGTATACATTGCTGGTATTTCATGTACAGGATTTGTTCATAATCTGTGGGGAGGAATTGTGCACGCAGAAGTTGTTTCATCTTGGCCCAATTGCGAACAGACCCCTTGCCTTCCCGCTGCCTCCTCTGTAACAGTTGGTTCCACCACGCACTGGCACCACTCCTAAGACGGCAAGCGACATATTTCACTTGCCGGGAGGGTTCAATCTCCATGTAATCGAAAAAATTCTCAACGGCTCTTTCTCAGTCCAAGTAATCCTCAATGTGGACATGACCATCAAAATAAGGTATATCTACCTTGATTTTAAACTCAGATTGAGTTCGACGAAAGAACTGTTGTCGTCTTCTTCCACCATGAACAGGACCATAGTCAGGCCCCTCCGCTTCCGCCTCGGAATCGGTCAAATTCTCCTCTGGAGTTGTAAGAACCTCATCGTCTGAATCTGTTTCCTCTGGAATTTGGGGTGGGATGCGACGCCCAAAACGATCAAGGCCCACTCCTCGTCGACGACCAGGTGCAACTGCTGGCATCGCTTCACGACGGGGATGGTGGGGCGGAACCCTTGGACTTTGGAGATTGAACTCGCGGCGTCTGTCGATCATGAGGCGTTGAACATCGGCGGCCAACGACTCCAGTTGGCGCATCATGTTCGCCTGGTTTTCCACCAATGTGTCGATACTCCGACCGTCGCCAGAGACCGGCGTCTTCCCTCTGTCCGTCATTGCTGTCGAATAGCTCTGATACCAATCTGGTGTAACCCAAGACCTGCAAGCACAGAAAGACAAGCAAAAACGAAGAAACAGGGAAGATGGAGATGAAAGGCTTCAGAGGCCTGTATATTTTTCTCTTGAATAGTATCAAGTATTTGCAAAAGATCAAAAACTGTTTCTCTCCTTCAGCCTTTCGTCTAAATAGGTTTCTAAAACCCTGTAGCCAATTCTAGAAGCTGCTTACTGTAGCTGTAACTACCTGATTCTAAAAACAACCAATCAGGTAAAAAGGTAAACATGTACTAATAAAACTAACATAGTAATAAGTAGTGGAAAAGGAATTAAGGGTATGATGGCCCTTGGCACCATGGCAGCACGTGCGGCGCTGCATCAGTTTTTGTCCTGCTAACTGTTAGAAAGTATAACCTGCTAAGAATACAGAAAGGTAAAGAAGAACGGTAGAAAGGAAATGCAGAGGAATTGAGCTGAAGTTGTATTTCATTAGCTAATTGCTTTACTACATTACTGTAGTATATATACAGCTCAAAGGGAATATGAAATACAGAGTTTGTTATAACAGAGCACGTGGGCACGTGTAAAGAATAAGTAGCCAGTCTTGCCACAGCTTAACCGAACACGTGCTTTCCTGATTCTGCATTAGCCACTTCCATAACACTAACGACCTCCCCAAAAACATTACCTGTACTCATTCTTCTCACTCTTACAAAACAACCAAAAGAAGGCGCTTGTAAAAGCTTACCATTTAGAAAGTGACGTCTTCATATATTCTTTCTCCCACCCAAAATGGATCCATGCTACTCATGGAACTCTTTGTGACATGGTAGAGATCTATGTTTCCGACACTTTCCATTGTTTCAGTTCTCTGTTGCTTGACTTGACTTTGTTGTCTTTGTCTCTGTGGTTTATCTTTTGTGTTCGTCCGGTTTGGATCATTTTCTCCCTTTGCTGTAAATGTGTACTTGCCCTTAAGGTCGAGATCATTTAAAAATGGGAGAAGCTCTTTGTAAAGGGCCCAAATTGCATCTTCTTGGTGTAAGCCTTCCTATTTGACTAGCTGTTAGACTATAAGATTACTTAACTTATAGGTGTGGCGTGAGCTTAGGATCATCACAAGCTTAACTATGGGATGGTTTTTTTCGAATCTCAACTAGTCTTGTTTTGTGGAAGAGATCATTTTGGTGACATTCTTGCGCAAGGAGTCATGAAAAATGGGTGAATTTGTTTTTGAGTAGGTTCTTGAAGATTGCATGCAACTAACCGAGTATGCTTTGGTATTGACTCATACTAGTCGAGGCGTGTTTTGGTGTACATCTTGTGGCGATCAGAAGTTTGATAGTATCGTTGTAGCTTGGCCAAAATTTGTTTTCCCATTGTGAATTTCACACGCTGATGTTGTCTACCTGGTGTTTCATGCACTATTGAGAATATTAGATATATTTTACAGGTGCAGTAAAGCTGTATTGCGCAATTTCAAAAGTTCATACATGATCTTAACTACCAATTATGCACCTACAGAATGGTAGATAGCTTGGGGAAGTCAGCCATATAGAGTTTGAAATGGTGTCATACAAATGGAAGTATGATAAGTTGTATTATAAGAGTATTTGATCCTCGTTATAAATTTAGTCCATACAGCTGGTGTCTCCATCAAGAAGCATAGTAGATATTGCTAAAGCCCACGGTTTATTCTTCCGTCTATCCATCTATATTTGGCTGGTATGCTAAGCTATAGGACAACTTAGTGCCAAGAGCATTGAAGATTGCTACCAAAAATTGCTCATAAAGATGCGGTTGTGTTGAGAGAATTATATTTGGCACTCCATTCTGCATGTATATTTCAGTATAAACAGGTTAGCTACTATCTTCATGCCGAAGCGTGAGGGAAGAGCTGAGAAATGCATATATTTTGTTAGACGGTGGACAACGACTATGATAGTTATTTTGCTGTTGGAGAGAGCAGGATATGGATGATGAGGTCCGTGGTTAATTCCTCACAAGCTGTTGTAGATATCAGAAGTGGCTGCAGTGAGCCAATCGACATGAACAGTTGATATGTCGTCACTTGTAGGGTTTGGCGGACTCCTATGCATCGCACTTCATCCTTGGCCAATAGTGGTGTGGTATAAGTCATTCGAGCATTTTCTGATGGCACCATGACTATCAATAAAGATGGTCGTAGAGGTTTTCTTGTTTGATTTTTGGGTCGGCTAGTAGCATTATTCGACCCTTCTAGCGAATGATGTCATCGTACAAAGTGATTTTTTTGTGTTTAGCAGGAGATGCCTTGATGTGTGAAGCATTTATTGCAATTGTGGATTGGAGATTGTTGACGTCCTGATTTTTGGCTATTGAAGCGATACAGTGGTCATATGTACCTCAGGGGTTCGATGCCCATTTATAGCTAGCCTCATCTGACTATTGAAGCGATAAGGAATCAGTGACTTGATTATTGGTTATACTCAATATTAAATTAGAAGCCAGTAATTTCACCAAAAGAAAGCTATTGTTTCTAGGTTTAGGGTTTACTTCACAGAGGATGATGTGAATGCACCTTTGGTTAATTAGTTGTTATATTGATATGGATGTAAATGGTTTCGCAAAATCAAGTAGTGCAAGACGAATGCTTTCGATACGTCGAGTGCTATGGATGCATCTATAGTCCAACTGAAGGCATTTTTTAACCGGGAGTGGTGCCAATGGTGCAGCAATTCTTGTGAAGTTGTGGACACAAGAATTGTTAGTAAACCCAGGAAGCTTCACAAGATGTTATAGATTTAGGAGTTTATTAGCTTTACATGTTAGTGAGTTTATTGGGGTTGGGCGTGAAGTCTTGTTTGCTAACGATATGGCTTAGGTACTGGATCGTTGGTACGTCCAACAGCCATTTGGATTGTTTGAGGTGGAATTGGTTATCGAGCATGTATGATAACATAGTGGTAAAATGTTATTGGTGTTCTGGTAATGATTTATTATGCCTAATATGTTATCGGAGAATGTGAGCAAATTTACACAATGAAAGATTCTGGATTGGTATTCATAATATTTTGAAATGTTGAGATCCTGTTCAATGGACTGGCAAAATTCATAATGACCATGGTGAGCGACTGTATTTGAAATATAGTTGTCAGCCATCCAAAATAGATTGTAGTTAGCATGAAGGTCAAGCGTGGAGTTATTAGAGAGATTAGAAATCGATTGAAGATTTTATCTTGGTTAAGAGTGTTGCAGTACGTGCAACAATTTCATCTGTGAGTAATGTTCCTGTAATTTAAGGGAAAATATTGGTTTGTTCTTGATGAATCATAGCTGGGGGAGCATTTCTAAAACCAATTTGTTGATGGTTGTGTCATGACCCAATTGAGTATTGTTGCGTCCTGGAGTATTCGCGGCGGTAGAGAAATATATAGTTTAACGTCTTAGCATTGTGCGAAGATCCAGCACACAATCAGATAAGAGAGAGGGTGAAGCGTTCATAAGAGACCAGATTTTTTACGTGGAAACCCTTGAAAATGGGGAAAAACCACGAGGCCTGGCCTAGTTTGAATGAATCCACTAGTATTTGTAGTCGATTACAAATGAGGCCCTTCCTTGGGAGGTCTTGGCTTGATGATACAAATGTACATCATATAGAGCGCATTACATGGTGGGAGTTACAATATAGACATGTTTGTTTGGTCGGCACTATCATAGTCGATAGAACGGAAGCCGGAAATACCGTTGTCTGGTGATGGAGGTCAAAATGATCATAGTAGACGACGGAGGTCGGAAGGCCTGTCGTCGACAGGAGATAGGAGTCTGAAAGATCGTTGTCTGGTGATGAAGGTCAGAAGGACCATAGTAGGCAAAGGAGGTCGGAAGGACCGTAGTCGGCAGGAGACCGAGGTCAGGAAGACCGTTGTCTAGGGATGGAGGTTGGAAGGACCATTGTAGGTGACGGATGTCGGAAGGACTGTAGTCGGCAGGAGACTGGGGGTCAGAAAGACCGTTGTCTGGTGATGGAGGTTAGAAGGACCATTGTAAGGACTGTAGTTGGTAGGAGACCGGGGTCAGAAAGACAGTTGTCTGGTGATGGAGGTCAGAATGACCATAATAGGCGCGTAGGTCAGAAAGACTGTAATTGGTAGGAGATAGGGGTCCGTAAGACCATAGTTAAAGGGTAGTATTATGGGAGTACTCTGGGAATCAAGTGGTGCCCTAGTGGAGCTCAATGCCTCAAGTACTGGTCCGACGGAAGTTCGGGCCTCAGATGGTGTTCTGGTGGAGCACAGGGCCTCAAGTGGTGGTCCGACAGAAGTTCGGGCCTCAGGTGGTGGTCCGACAGAAATCAAGGCCTCAAGTGGTGTCCTGGTGGATCACAGGGCCTCAAGTGGCGGTTCGGCTGAAGTCCGAGCCTTAGGTGGTGGCCTGGAGAAGCACAGGGCCTCAAGCGGTGGTCCGGTGGAAGTCCGGGCCTCAAGTGATGGTTCGGCAGAAGTTTAAGCCTTAAGTGGTGGTCCGACGGAGCTCAGGGCTTCAAGTGGTCAACCTCAAGCGATGGTTCAGCGGAGGTAAGGGCCTCAATTAGTGGTCCGGCGGAGGCAAGGGCCTCAATTGGTGGTCTTGCATAAGTCCTGGCCTCAGGTGGTGGTCCGGCGGAGAAACAATGTCAGGCGGTGTTCCAGCGGAGGTGAGGGTCTCAAGTGGTGATCCGACGGAGGAGAGGGCCTCAAGTGGTGGTTCGGCGGAGGAGAGGGCCTCAAGTGGTGGTCCAGAAGAGCAGAGACGTTAGGCGGTAGTCCGGCAGAGGTGAGGGCTTCAAGTGGTGGTATGGCGGAGGTGAGGGCCTCAAGTGGTTGTTCGGCGGAGCAACGACATCAGGCGGTGGTCCGACGGCGGTGAGGGCCTCAAGTGGTGGTCCGGCGGAAGTCCGGCGGTGGTCGAGGAGGTGCTTCTTCCTTCTCTTCCTTCTCTTCCTTCTCTTCCTTCTCCTCCTTCTCTTCTTCCTTCTTCTCTTCTTGCTTCGGTCCCCCTTTCAAGTGAAATGAGGGGTCTATTTTTAGGTTTCTGGAGTGACATAGCCCGTAAATAGGTGAGAGATTAAGGGTAAATGGGAAGTGATTAAATGGACGGCCGATGTTGAATCCCTTGATTATGGATCGTTCGTTAGACAATTGAAGGTCTTAATGATGTTAGAATTCGACGATCTTGGGCTCGTTAGATTCGTCTCGTTGAGCCGCTCGATTTGACTACAGGCACATCATGTTTAGAAGCCGTTTGGTAACCCAAATTGTGGTTCGAACATTCCAATAGTGCTTCGGGTCCTTAATTTGGACTCATTTGGGCTCGGATTGAGATGAGTTTGGTGTCGTTGGGTTCGTATTTCCAAGATGTTCAGTTTGACTGAAAGTTTGTTGAAATCGGAGTTCGGATGGTCCCAATTTTAATTTTGGAAGTTTCCAACTTGATTTTACATCGAGATTCATACCCGAACAAGATAATTTTTTGAGGATGTATCAGTTGCCCCCTTATTTTCGGACGTCGATGCTCCAGAAGTATGAAAATATGCATTATAGCCCGTAGAAAATTTTTCGGGTGATTTTTGAACGTAGTCCGTTCACACGTTCCGTTCATGGGCGTAGAGGTCCCGAAAGGTTCGAAAGGTGCAAAAATTGAATCAAAAACATCAAAAATTGATTTCGAGGACCCCAAAAATATCCGATTTGACCTTTCCGGGCCCAAAATTGGGCCTGAAAACGGGTCGAGACGGAAAAGTCGCCGGCGATTGCCGCTGGCTTCCACCACTACCGCGCGGCGTCGCTGCACTGCCTGCGCATTGCCCGGCCTACCCGCTGGCCCGTGTCTGACCTGCGCCAGGCCCAATCCTAGCCCGTGCCTGACCCATTAGCTAGTTTGCAAGCTGGCCGCAGTTTGGAAATTGCTGGCGGTTATCCCAAATCGCCAGCAGTTTAGATTTTTTTTTCAACTTCTCCCTCCTGCTATAAATACCCCATAGGGGGTATGAAATTCCTGCACATTCTCTTCTCCCTTCATTCTTTTAATTGAGGCCTTGTCTTCACCCTGTATGGGTGGTATCCCTCGTGTAGGCCTAAGGCCCCTCTCTATGTAAGAAGGTCCGGAGATCCCCCCTTCTCCCTCCATTCTTTCAATTGAGGCCTTCCCTTGGCCCTGTATGGGTGGTATCCCTCGTGTAGGCCCAAGGCCCCTCTTTGTGCAAGAAGGTCCGGAGATCCCCCCTTCTCCATCCATTATTTCAATTGAGGCCTTCCCTTGGCCTTGTACGGGTGGTATCTCTCGTGCAGGCTCAAGGCCCCTCTCTGTGCAAGAAGGTCCGGAGATCCCCCTTCTCCCTCCTTTCTTCGAGAGATCCTGCAGAGTTCCGATGTTAGTTGGTTGGCGATTGAGGTCAGAGAGATCATTGTAAGGAGGGAGGTTTAAAAGACTATTGACAGGTCGAAATCTGGAGTCAGGTAGAAATATAGCATCGGATAGGAGTCTGACGATAAACAGAAGTTCGACGAAGGGTGGAAATTTGGCGTCGAGTAGAAGTCCGACGATGTTCATAAATTTAATGTCCGGTAGAATTCTGACGTCAGAGAGAAGTACGGCGACGAGTAGAAATTCAATGTCGGGTAGAAGCCCGGCGAATGTCCTTCGATAGGCAGGAGTTTGACATCATCTAGAAGTACGACATCGGGTAGAAGACCGACGAAAGTCCATCGATGGGAAGAAGTCTGATGACGGGTAGTAGTCCAACGGCAGACAGAAGTCCGACGTCGGGTAGAAATAGATCGTTGGGTAGAAGATCGACGAAAGTCCATCGACGGGCAGAAGTCCGACGACTGGTAGTAGTCCAACGACAGGCAGATGTTCGACGTTGGGTAGAAGATCGATGAAAGTCCATCGACGGGCAGAAGTCCGACGACTGGTAGTAGTCCGACGGCAGGCAGAAGTCTATCGTTGGGTGGAAGTACTGTGTCGGGTAGAATTCGACGATAGTCCATCAACGGGCATATGTCCGACGACGGGTAGTAGTTTGACGGTAGGTAGAAGTTTGACGTCGGATAGAAGTACATCGTCGGGAAGAAAATCGACGAAAGTCCATCGATCGACAGAAGTCTGTCGACGGGTAGTAGTCCGGCGGCAGTCACAAGTCCAACGTTGGGTAGAAGTACAACGTATCTGGCCGAACCACTATAAATCTTTGTGTCATTTAAATTTTCGCTGCTTACTGCAAATTTTATTTCGTTGTTGAAAATTTTATTTTCAAATAACTTCAATTAACTTGCTACGAATCGTTAACTAGTTTCAAATTTTAAATCTAAGAGAATTTTTAAAATTACCAATTCACCCCACCTCTTGATTAGCCTTGGAACATTAGTTTTAGGTTCATAACCTATTCAAGATTCAACAACCACCATTTGAAAGAGGCCCACATCGCACCTTCATGCGTCTTGAACCAAATAGTTTTCAATTATCAAGTTTTAGAACTCTTTGCATAAACCACTCTTCAATTTCTATTAAATCTCATTTTCCTCTAAAATTTTGAACTCTTATTCGAATTCTTTGCGAACCTATGGGTAAAATTTGAATTCACTTCTATGAACTCTTATATCTATAGGGTTCTATAGAAATAACCAAATAAGACCTTATTGAATATTTACATCTTTTTCCAGATGGGGTTCAACCAAATAACTTAGTATCTAGGGCAATTATGATTGGACCACTATAAAAATGACCCTTAGCAATTCTTCCTTAAATCAGCATAGCCTCTCGTCCATTCACTTAACCAGAATGCCCATATAATCTAAAATGTTCTTCGTACCTCTATTCTTTTTAAGGATGGAGATAGAGTAAATATCATCACAGTTCTATTAATCATCACCTATTTCATAATGTATAACATTGTATTTGATGAATCCCACATGATTATTAGCTGTTTTCAAAATCTTATTCCCATTCATCGACCATCAACCCGGTGTAAGAAGAACCTTTATTAAGGACAGCTAGTCACTTACATCCTAAATAAAAAATACCAACTTCTATATCACACACAAGCAAAAATATTCATGTTCTTTTACTCTGATTGTTCCTTCCACTTTTTTTTTTATTGACATTAAGAGGATGAGGCCAAAGAAGAGCACGAGTTTGATGATGTAGGAGGAGGAGACCCTCTAGTACTAGCACCAATGATAATACCTTCTCACTAGTTCCAAGCCTATAACTTGATCATCTTGATCATGGAATGACTTGATCTCTTTTTTTTTTTTGAAGAAGAAGAAGCAAAAGTTTACATTAATAGAAAAAGAACGAAGCAAAAACCTACAAAGTCGATTCCTCC